ATTGGAGGTTGCTGTGAGCTGTGACGCCAGAGCACTCTACCAAGGGCAATAAAGTAAGACTCTGTCTCTAAAAAAAAAAAAAAAAAAAAAAAAAAGTTAACATTTCTTGAGCATTACCATGTAGTAGGCACTGTTCTAGGTTCTCTTTTAGTCTTTACAAAAACCCTGAGATAGATACTATTATCTCTGTTTAGTAATGAGTAGCAAAAGGCTAAGTAACTTGTCCACAATAGCAGTTGCTAAGTCGCAAGCCAACATTTCAATCTAGGTATTCCAATTTTAAGACTCAAGTTCTTACCCACTTTTCTGGCAGTAAATTCTCCGCTGACTTAATGTGTATCAGACCTAGATGTTCCCTCAACTTTGAATTTCTTTTTTCCCAATTACAGATTCCATTCCTTTGCAATATTGGTTTCCAACTAGTCCCTAGAACCACAGGGTACCCTCAAAAGTAGAACAGTAGTCCCTGTTCTACTCTTCGAAAAACATTTGCCTTAAAATCTATTGTTCTTTGTAGAAATAAAGGCCATTTCAATTATTCCCTGTTTAAAAATGCCAGAGCCTCACTGAACTCCAGGTAATACCTCCCAACTCCAAGCTGCATTCTTACTAGTATCCTACCCAAATTTCTTTTTTTTTGAGACAGAGTCTCACTTTGTCACCCTCTGTAGAGTGCAATGATGTCACAGCTCACAGCAACCTCACTCAAGTGATTCTCTTGCCTCAGCCTCCCAAGCAAGCTGGGACTAAAAGTACCTGCCACAATACCCAGCTATTTTAAGAGGCGGGGTCTTCCACTTTCACAGGCTGGTCTCAAACTTGTGAGCTCAGGCAATCCACCCACCTTGGCCTCCCAGAGTGCTAGGATTACAGGTGTGAGCCACTACACCCAGCCTCCCAAATTTCTATAAATTCCTTCTGTTCATCTTGGACATTTTACTAGATAACTCATCTTCATCTGACCATCTTAATTTTTCCAGCTTTTGCTCTACACACATTTCCCCTTCTCCCCATAGCAAAAATCTAAATTCAACCACATAATTCACCTATAATTTCCCAAGTATCTTTCCACTATAGATAAGCAGTAATAATGCCCTTTTATTAAAATACAAGACAAATAAAGTAGCTCCCCTCTCCAGAAAGGAGTACTTGTGTGTGTGTATGTGCGTGTAAAATAGAGACTGAGCACTATGGCTCATGCCTGTAATCCTACCATTCTGGGAGGCCAAGGTGGGAGAATCCCTTGAGCTCAGGAGTTCAAGGCCAGTCTGACCAAGAGCAAGACCCTGTCTCTATTAAAAATTAAAAAAAAAAAAAAAGTAGCAAGTGTTGTGGCAGGTGCCTATAGCCCCAACTACTTGGGAGACGGAGACAAGAGGATCACCAGAAGCCAGGAGTTTGAAGTTGCTGTGATCTAGGCTGATACCACAGCACTCTACCCTGGGTAATGAAGTAAGACAAGAAAGGAAGAAAGGAAGAACAGAAGAAGGAAAGAAAGGAAGAAAGGAAAGGAGGAAGGGAGGGAGGGAAGGAGGGAGAAAGGATGAGAGGGAGAAAGATTTTAAAAAATGAAATAAAAACAGAGAAGAGATACTTGTTCATCTATCAAAATTTCTTATAGACAGCGTAAGGATTCTAAGGCAAACAAAAGTATTCCCTCTAAAGGAATTCCCACTTCTATGCCATTCCAGAGCCTGCCTAATTTAGGAAATAATGTAATCAGTAGAATTGTATTTTTCTCAAAGCGAATGAATAACATGATAGCATTATCAGCACTCAGTAAGCCCAATAAAAATCACTCTATAGTAATTGCTCTGTCAAAACAGTGACCTTCTGTTTAAACTTTAAGGTTGTAAATGTAAAATGATAAAAAAAAAAAAAAAGAAGTTGCTTTCGTTATTATATATTTAACAGACACAAATTAAAGCACAACTTCATTAGTTACAGCTACTTATGCTATGCTATTTAATACAGTGGCCAATACACACAAACACTATTGAGCACTGGAAATGTGACCAGTCCAAATAGAGATGCAAGTACACAATACACACGATTTTGAAAATGTGATATGGAAAAAACAACTTAAAATATCTCATTAATGATTTGTTTTTGAGACAGAGGCTCACTTTGTCACCCTTGGTAGAGTGTCATGGCATCACAGCTCATAAAACCTCAAACTGTTAGGCTTAAATTATTCTCATGCCTCAGGCTCCCAAGTAGCTGGGACTACAATCCCTGCTACAACACCTGGCTATTTTTTAGAGACAAGGTCTCGCTCTGGCTCAGGATGGTCTCGAACTCCTGAGCTCAGGCAATCCACCCGCCTCAGCCTCCCAGAGTAAAATTTACAGGTATGAGTCACCGTGCCTGGCCCTCATTAATGATTTTTATATGAGTTCGATGTTAAAGTAATAATATTAGATATATTAGATTAAATTAAAAACACCATTAAACTTAATTTCAGAGCCAGCAACCCCATTCCTATTTAATGTAAAGAAAACTTATGCTGATACAAAAACCTTTAAAGAAAGTTTTTCTTCTTTTTGTGAGACAAAGTCTCACTCTATCACCCAGGACAGAGTGCCATGGCATCAGCCTAGCTCACAATAATCTCAAACTCCTGGTTCAAGCAATCTTCCCATCTCAGCCTCCAAGTAGCTGGGACTGTAAGCGCCTGACACAAAGCCTAGCTAGTTTTTCTATTTCAGTAGAGACAGGGGTCTCATTCTTGCTCAGGCTGGTCTCAAACTGCTGAGTTCAAGCAATCCTCCCATCTCGGCTCATTCCCAAAGTGCCAGGATTACTCCATGAGCCACTTTGCCTGATCTACAAGAGTATTTATAGTAGCACTATTCATAATTGCTAAAGACTGAAAACTACGCAAATGTCCTCCAAAGGATGAATGGGTATATAAACTGTGGTATATCCACACTATAAACTACTACTCAGCAACAACAAAGAAAAGAACTATTTATACATGCAACAACTTGGATGAATCTTAAGGGCATTATGTTAAGTGAAAGACTCAAAAGTTACACACTGTATAGATTCTATTCACAACATTATTGAAAAGATAAAGCTATTCTGAGGAAGAAGAGATCAGTGGTTGTCAGGAGTCAGGAGAGGGTATGATTACAAAAGAACAGCACAGGGGAGTTTTGGTGAGATGAAACTGTTCTGTAGCCCGACAGTGGTGGTGATTGAAAGAATCTATATATGTTAAAATTCATAACTGAACCAAAAAAAGATCAGTTTTACTGGCCTAATGATATTTCAGTTGTTTTTCTTAGTGAGGCTACTAAAAAATTATATGTAGTTCACATTATATTTCAACTGGATAGCACGGTACTGACTCCTAAAAGAATCAGAATCCACCTGCCCTAATGTTGATTTTAAAATGTGTATAGTATAAGATTATTCCCAAGGAACGAATTTTTTATTTTTTTATTTTTAAAGAGACAGAGTCTTGCTCTATCACCCAGGCTGGGCTACAATAGCATGGTCATGGCTCACTGGAGCCTCAAACACCTAGACTTGAGTTGATTATCCATCGCAGTTTTTTAAGTAGCTAAGACTACAGGGGTACACCACCACACCTGGTTGATTTTTTTGTTTGTTTTTTGTAGATACTGCCCACACTTGTCTCGAACTTCTTGGCCTCCGAAAGTTCCAAGATTATAGGCATAAGCCACCACACTTGGTCATTTAAAAATCTAATTGATTGATTAATTTAGTTATTTTAATTTATTGTTGGGGATTCATTGAGGGTTACTTAATTTATTTTTAGAGACAGTCCATTCTGTCACCCAGGCTGGAGTGCAGTGATACAATCATAGCCCACTGCAGACTCAAACTCCTGGGCTCAAATGTCTGAGACTAAAGGCATATGCCACTATACATCAAATTGGTTATTGACAATTAAACAACCACTAAACCAAAGCACTACTTACCACTTTTTCCGCAATGAATACTGTGTCATTTTCATTTAGAATATTTTTCAAAGGATTTAGCTGACTTTTGCTGATCAACTGCACCTGGACATCAGCCTGTCAAAAACAGATGTCAATCAATGTTACATATACATACATATGTATACTATTTAAACACATAAGTACCAGTTCTGTGTAAATGACTATAAATTTATTTATTTATTTATTTATTTATTTTGAGACAGAACCTCAAGCTGTCACCCTGGGTAGAGTGCCATGGCATCACAGCTCACTGCAACCTCCAACTCCTGGGCTCAAGTGAGTCTCCTGCCTCCGCCTCCAAAGTAACTGGGACCACAGGCACCCACCACAATGCCTGGCTATTTTTTGGTTGCAGCCATCATTGTTGTTTGGCAGGCCAGGCTGGATTCGAACCCACCACCTTAGGTGTATGTGGCTGGCGCCTTAGCCACTTGAACTACAGGCACTGAGCCTGTAAATTTTTAAGAAACAGGTTCTTGGGTAAGATACAGTGCCACATACTTGTAATCCTAGTGCTCTGTGAGGTTGAGGCAAGAAGACAGCTTGAAGTCAAGAGTTTGAGACCAGCCTAAGCAAGAGAGAGATCCCAACTCTCCCAAAAATAGAAAAATTAGCCAGATTTGGTGGCATGCACCTGTAGTCCCAACTACTTGGGAGACTAAGGCAGCAGAATTGCTTGAGCCTAGTAGTTTGAGGCTACCATGAGCTATGATGACACACCATTGGACTCTTCCCAGAGTGGCAGAGGGAAACCCTATCTCAACACAAAAGAAAAAAGTTCTTATATATTTTTCCCAGGCTGGAGTAGAGTAGCTATTCAAAGGCACCATCATAGTGTACTACAGCCTCAAACTCCTGGGCTCAAATGATCCTGTTACCTGGGCCTCCAAGTGTTGGGACTACAGAAATAGACAACTGTGCCTGGTTCATATTTTAAAGTATTTCATTTATTCTTTGCCCATGTTATTTCTCATGTTTAGAAAGTCTAGTTCTTACATTCTATATCTACCCATGCTTCAAGGCTCACATGAAATACACCCTGCTTTCTTTTGCTCAGGACCACCACGATATCCTATCTTTAATCACATTGTATTTACTATTACATAATATAAAATTAGCACTTTAGTAAATATTATAACTGTACTATGAAATTTTAAAACTTATTAATATGTCAGTTTGGCTTAGCGCCTGTGGCTCAAGTGGCTAAGGCACCAGCCACATACATCTAAGGTGGCCGGTTCGTATCCAGCCCAGGCCTGCCAAACAACAATGACGGCTGCAACCAAAAAATAGCTGGGCATTGTGATGGGCGCCTGTGGTCCCAGCTACTTGGGAGGCTGAGGCAGGAGACTCGCTTGAGCCTAGGAGATGGAGGTTGCTGTGAGCTGTGATGCCACAGCACTCTACCCAGGAGGATAGCTTGAGGTTCTGTTTCAAAAAAAAAAAAAAATGTCAGTTTATAAAAACTGTATACAGTTTCATTCCAATTGGAATAGATGTTTATCATAGAAAAGTTACACGAAGTTTCTTTGTTTTTTGTGACCAGAGTCTCACTATGTTGCCCTAGGTAGAGTGCCATAGCATTACAGCTCACAGCAACCTCAAACTCTTAGGCTTAAGCAATTCTCTTACCTCAGCCTCCTAAGTGGCTGGAACTACAGGGACCTGCCATAATGCCCGGCTATTTTTTGGTTGCTGTTGTCATTGTTGTTTAGCAGGCCCAGGCTGGGCTCAAACCTGTCAGCCTCGGTATATGTGGCTGGTGCCCTACCCACTGAGCCATGGATGCACCCTGAAGTTTTTGTTTGTTTGTTTGTTTGTTTTTGAGACGGAGCCTCAAGCTATCCCCCTAGGTAGAGTGCCATGGCATCACGCTCACAGCAACCTCCAACTCCTGGGCTCAAGCGAGTCTCCTGCCTCAGCCTCCCAAGTAGCTGGGACCACAGGCGCC